AGAGATAGAGGACTAATGTCAACAAATATCATTTTAACATTGTTGCATTAAATATTGCTTTATCAAATGAAAGAGAACTCATGTTGTTCGATGTACCTTTAACTGTTAGCCTTTTCTAGTATATCAGGGCTGTCAAAGATATGGCCCATAAGCAGATCCAGACCATGGAGCCCTAGGATCTGGCCCATGGGTCTCAGGATAACCTGGCATGCTGGATGCCCCCTGTGCCACATGCCAGTCCTATGCACTGTGTGTAGTACAAGCCTTGAACTGGGGTCAGTGCATGCTGCATGCAGCACGGGGCTGGAACCAGAGGACATGCTGCACACAACACAAGGGGCCAATTCAGGATGTGCATAGCATGTGTCACCCCACCAGACTACGCTTGCGTGCTGGCTCTGAGGCTGGTCCCAATCAGGCTCACAAATAAGACCCACATACAGGAGCCAACACACAGGGAGGGTCCAGCATGGACACTCCATATAGCAGGTGCCCTGTGCTGGCTTCATATGTGAGCCTCAGACTGGTGGCTGGCATGCACAGGGCTGAGTTGTGGCACTCACTGCATGAGCTCTGGTGCATGGGGTTGGCCTGTGGGAGTCCAGCCTCACATCCCTCATCCAACCCATAGGGCTGGATGAATTTGACAGCCCTTCAGTATATATTTCTTAATAACCTGATTTATTTTCTCTATAATTGATATTTTTCAAATAAAGAGATAATTGTGTGGGGATGGTAAAGGGAATAAAAAGTATGGATCTTAATTCATTTTAGTTACTGTTTACCTGTCACCTGTTGTTCATGGGCTATTGAATTTCACCCTGATGATTGATCTGAGCTAAAATGGAGTCGTGATAAAGTTTTGAATAATTGTTTACAGCAGTAAGTGGTCTGTTTCATGAGAGAAATTTCTGTGGCAGATTTGTATGTTTTTGACTTTGTGACAGAGTAGTCACATAATCAAGTTCTGTGGCAAAGTAGTCTTGGTTTTGGATTAGTGTCAGTTGAGATTAAGCAGTTTACCATCCAATTGGTAGTTTAGCTCCACTTCAAATGGATGGTTGTGGGCATTTAGGTGTAGCATCTCAGTAAGGAATATTGAAAGAGAGTGTTGGAATGATGATACAGCCTTGCTTAACTCTCATCTTAACCTCAAAGGGATCTGTGATAGATCCATTCGTAAGAACCACTGCTCACATATGGTCATGGACCGGGCAAAGAATGGTGATGAATTTTGGTGGGCATCCATACGTCAAAAGGATCCTCTACAGTGCTTCTCAGTTGACAAAGGCAAAGGCTTTCATGAGGTCAAAGAAGGCAATGTAGAAGTGTTCATGTTGTTCTCTACATTTTTCCTGAAGTTAGCAAGCAGTGAACATCATGTCAGGGTTGTGCCTCTTGATACCTTAAAGCCACACTGAGATTCTGGGAGGAGCTGAGATTATGGAAGTGATGGCTCGTGCCAACAGGACAGTCTCAGCCAATGGAAGGAAATGCTTCAGGAAGGTTCTCACAATGATTTTTCCTGTGGTGAACAGTAAGGATATCCCTCTGTAATTTCCACAGCTGGACCTGTCTCCTTTCATGAAGATTGTGACAATCATGACATCCCTAAGGTCATCTGGGATTTCCTCATCGTTCCAGAACCTTAAGATGAGGGCATGGAGCTTCTCTCCGCCCACTTGAAGTTCTTGGCAAGAATTCCATCAACTCCAGATTCTTTGTCATTCTTCATCAGCTTCATGGCTTTCCTCACCTCTTCAAGGTTTGGTCATTTCTGAGGGCGTGTTGCAGGATGGAATTGAGACCATGCTCATCAACACCAGAGTGTTGATTGAAAAGGTCCTGAAAATGTGCCTTCCAGTGGGCACTGATGACTCCCCTTTTTTTGATCAGGTCTCTTCCATCTTTAGGTTTCAAGGGGGCTGATCCCTGAGTGCTTGGACTGTAGATGTGTTTGTGGTGCTAAGAAAACTGTGCATATCATGGATGTCAGCAAGATGTTGAATCTGCTTTGCACTTATGGTTGATCAACTCTTAGATCTCCTGATCATTCGCATCAAACCAGTCTTAATATTTCCTGGTAGTGAATCCAAGTGTCTCTTCAAAGGCACTGATGACAGTGTACTTGAAAGCACCCCAAATGCTGTTGACATTTTCCCATAGTTGTTGATTGGAATTCACCAGTTTTTCATTGAGGCACCAGTGGAAGAGGTCTTTCTTGATTGTGTCCTGAAGTCCTCCCATGTTGACCTTCTATTGGCATTGCTTCTGCTGCAACTGTCATTTGGGAGCCAGGCTAAATGATATAACCAAGCAGATGAAGCAGTGATTGGTCCAGAAATCATCAGCTACTAGCATAGCTCAAGTAATGCAGACATCGTTGCAATCCTGGACATGACCAATGACATAGTCAATCAAGTGCCAGTGGTTAGATTGCAGGTGTTGCCAGGATGTCTTCTACCTGTGTTTCTTGCAGAACAGGGTGTTGGTGATGGTGGGTTCATGTTCTGCACACTTTGCCAAGAGGAAGATGCTGTTGGAAATGACTTTTCCTTCCTTGCCAATGATTCCATTCCAGAGGTTAAGGCCCTTCCAGCTCTGGCACTGAAATCTCTGAGCAGAATAAGTCTGCCTCCTTCTGGAACACAATAGAGGATTTGGTTAAGGTTGGCATAGAATTCCTCCTTGGTTTCATCAGCACTGTCAAGAGTCAGGGCATATGCACTGATGATAGTGGCATATTGGCTCTCTGCCAGTTTAAGACCAAAAATCATGACATACTCATTAAGTCCAATAGGGAAGTCATTGAGTTGTTTTACAAGTTCATTCTTAATGGCAAATCCAGCTCTATGAGGTCGGTGTTCTCTTCCTGTTTACCCTTCCAAAGAATATATAGCCACCTCCTTCTTCTTTGAGCTGCCCATCTCCTACGCATGAGCCTTGCTCAGTGCAGTGATGTCTGTGTTGTGTCACCTGAGTTCTTGGGCCATGCTTTGGGCATTCACTATTAGGATTGTCCATGAGGGTCCTGATGTTCCAAGTCTCAAAAATGATAGCGTGTCTTCACTGATTTTTGACCTCAGTAAAAGTGATCCCACTGGACATGGTTATCCAGTCAGAAAAAGGGTGGGGTAGGCAGACTATGTTTAGGGCACCTTTTTTAGCCTCCCACCCCCATGTTGGGTGAGCAGAGTGGATCCTATAAGGGGCTGCTCAGTCAGTTATAGCTGCTGAATCACACTCCTGCCAATCCAAGTGCCAGATGACCTCCTTGCAACTGCCGCCTTCATGCCAGTTCATGACTAGGAGCTTTCAGGCCTCACAATCCTGCTCCCGTCATCACTAGTTGGTCACCGAAGGACTTGAAAAGTATGCTAAACCCATTTTCATGGAAGACACCTGTGCATGATTTATTTTATCATGGAGTGGCTGTTGCACATCAACTTCCACAGGGTTCCTGACAGAACAGGACCTTGATCCAATAGCAAGGAGTCGAACACAATTGGATATCTCATTCTGATGCAGCCTACATCTTCCTTCGCAGCCATTGAGATTCTAACATCTTCCTCCTGCTCTGCTACTAAGGACATGTAAACCCATGGCTGGGGGCTGGACAGTCTTATTATAATAATGACCTGTACTCACCATGTCACAGCACAATTAGAGAATATGTGTGGCTTTTCAGAAGGGAGAGTTGCCATCTGCTGTACCTACCACATCTGGTGGTGCTGTCGTTGCTTAGTCTGTGACTTCTTATTCATCAGAGTTACCCCTGCTTATTTCACAACTAACCTTCCCTGAAGGACATGCCATCATCCACCATATGTGGATGCATGCTGGGTAGCAGCACAGCTCTGACACCAGATACAATGAATACATTTATACTTGCACTATGACATGATCATTATTTTTGATGGACCCATGTCATGCAGAGGGTAGGTTTCTTGCAATTCTTGAAAACTGAAATTTTTTTGCAATGACCTAAAAATCATAATGGTAAAGCATGGTAAAGAACTTATATATCTGTGTGGGTTTTTTTAGTGAGATGGGCAGGGGGATGATACTGAGTGAATGTTTTGTTTCTTTTTTTTTTACCCATTCCAATTTTTTTTTCAATGAGAGGTTTTGCTCAGAGGAGTTTGCATGACAATTTTTCAAGTATTCAAGTTGTTTTCTACATATTGACTGATTGATATTCTCTTCTTGTAGAGAGAAAGTAAATTTAGAAAACAAAGACTCAGAAATATTTTTTTTAAATGCTATATTTGTGGAAGCTTGTGACAAGAAGGATGGAGTTGGTCAGAAAATTTCTGGCAAAACATTTTTTTTTTCCATTAGAGGTTGGCAATTCATATTTTTTTTTTCAAAGATGGCTCAATATTGAGAAAGCTCCAGAGTAAACCATTGCCCAATCAGGATTTCAACTCCCTACCTCTTTTTTAGCCACTTACCATGCTGACATGACATTTGAAGCTTGGAAGCCATGGTAACTCCATACCCCAGACTCCTAAGTTTCATAGAAAATATAAGAAGTTGTGGATTTTGTTCTGAACTGGAGAATCCTGCTTTGAGCAGAAGGTTGGGCTAGGTGACCTCCTAACGTCCCCAGCAAGTCTGTTTTCCTTGTTAAATGTTGAAACAGCAAAATCCTCTACATCAGCACATCTCAGACTTTGAGGTTTGTGTTCCATGTCAGTAAAATCAGCTACTTTCATCCCCCCATCTTCAGATGCCACATTTTATTTACTACTTTTTCACATGTGTAGTATTGACATGATTCACACATTCCTGGACAGTGGACTTAGTTCATACTTATTGAATAAGTCATGACATCCCGAAGTGGGTGCGCCCCATAGCACTATTCTACATAATAGTATTACCTTGGTACAACCAGCTCAAAAAAGACCATTCCACATAAATAACATTTTTTTCTATTGGATATGGAACAATTGATATTTCCCTATAACAATATTATTGTGTTTTTATTGTTTCAATAGGTGGGAAATGTTGTTCAGTTTCAGTGTAAAAAAGGACACCTTCTCCATGGATCCACAACCCGCACTTGCCTTCCTGACCTTACATGGAGTGGGATTCAACCAGAGTGTATACGTATGTAAATGGATCAGATAGTGAAATATTTTATAGCTTATGAAAAAGCTTCTATATCAGAATGCTTTAGTTAATTTCAATTTCAATGTATAGTTTAATGTTGAAAGGTAGTACGTGACAAACAAGCTTTGAGTCTTCCTAAGTAACTCATAAGTCTATGAGCAGTTAAAATTACAAGAATATTGATAATTTTTTAATATGAAATCTAGGACTGGCTAGAAATGCAAATAAGTCATAAAACTGTTCAGAGAGCACTATAATTTCCTCTCACCTTAGCTGTAAGAAACCAAACAAATACAGAAGGATGCAGGTGAAGAGGGAAAAGGCCAACCCAAAATTATGCTAGGACAAGGCAGGCCTGAATCAGAGAGCTGCAAACTGCACATTATTGACAACAATGCACAGCTTGAACTACTTGCCTAGTACCTCATCAAGATAGTTTGGAGAAGGGCCAAAAAAGTTATTAAAAGGAATGAGCTATATCTGTCTCAGATAGGAAGTTCTTCAATAGGAAATGCATTTCACTCCTTAGGCAGTATGCGTGTTTACAGTTATTTGTATACTATTGCAAAGGTAGACTCTCAAACTCAGTCACTTTGGTATACATGAATCTACTCACAAAATCAAGGTCAAAACTCACAAAACCATGATGTACTTATGCAAATTAAATGCAGGAGAAAGGCTATAGAGATATAATTATTTTATTAGACCAATTAAATAGTTGGAAAAGTCATTTTTTTTACAAGCTTTCAGGCATAAACTCCCTTCTTCAGGCATTGGGACAGTCTGCTGTTGTTCTCTTGGATAGGATACAGGCCAATATGCAAAATGAAGGTCTGTGAAAATGCAAATGTGTGGCCAGTGAGGATCACAGGCGATGGGAGACACCAACCCACATGTATTGTCTCCTATCGCATCTGATCCTCACAACAGCAGACTCTGCCTATGCCTGAAGAAGGGTGTTTGTGACTGAAAATTTGCAAAGAATATTTTTTCCAACTATTTAGTTGGTCTAATAAAATATATCATACTTACCCAAGGAAACTTGTCTGCCTATGTCCTCAGACCATCACAGCTACAACCAGCACCCCCATAGAAATATAAGTAATTGTTGTTAAAACTTTTAATTGCTTACATAGAAATGTTTGAAGTCATTTCTTCAGAAGTGTTATTACTATTTCAACTAACAAATAATTTATGATTTCTTTGTAGCTCATAACTGTAAACAGCCAGAAACGCCATCTCATGCTAACGTTGCAGGAATGGATCTTCCTTCCCTTGGTTATACTTTGATTTATACCTGTCAGTCAGGCTTCTTCCTGGCAGGAGGATCAGAGCACAGAGCCTGTAGGTCTGATGGCACATGGACTGGGAAAGTTCCAGTTTGTGAAGGTAATTAATCCCTTCTGCTTCCCCACTCTCTTCCTCTGCCTCTAATATTAAACTTCTAATTTTGTTTCATTTGCTATTTAGTAATCATCAGAAAAGGTAGAAAATCAGGCCTGAGTTTACAGTTGCAGGAGAGTTCTTCAATCATTGGACTACAGGGTATAAATTGGACATGCACTCTTGTTTGTCATGGACTTTTGTGGAGGCTGTGCTGTGAACAAGTCTATAGAATAATGTTCTATGCATGACATAGGCAGAGGAAAACCTGATAATCCCACCATGTGTTAGGCATGAGCGAGGAACAGCTAGGCAGTATCGGGACATGTGTTTTTGTACGTGTTTATGGAAACATAGATCATGTCTGCACAGTAAACTCAAAATGTTCCAGAGCCACATCCTTAAGCATATTGCACAGTTTCATGGGTACTGCTCCTAAACTGGGAGCAGTAGCCACATCTGTCATGCCTTGGGCAGATAGTTATAACTGCTAAGTAAAAGGCAGGCAATTATTTCAGCTGGAGGGCCACTTAATGAGTTTTGAAGAGCTGTTGAAGGTCACAAGGGTAGCCCCACCCCTTGACAGGTGCCCTTCCTCCTGGTTGCCATCTTGGGACTGGAAGTCCTACCCCTAACCCCTGACCTTTGCCACTGGAAGTCCCTACCCTTGCCCCCAGAAGTACTTCTTTTGCAAAGAGGGGTTTGCCATCTTGGAACTGGGAAAAACAAAAACAAATCATATACAAAAAATCATTTTATTATAACATTTTAGTTAAAAAAATATTTTTGTCCTTATTTATGGGTGTTTGCATAGTGTACATAGAGGCAATTGCAAAATAGCTCAAAATAAAATCTTACTCATATACTGTGTGTGGTTGGGGGCTGGATATGTGTGTGGTGGGGTGTGGGGAGCTGCAGGTGTGGGGTTTGTGGGCTGATGTGAGTTTGTGGGCAGGGTGTTGGTGGGTGTGATGTTTGTGGGAGGTGTGGGGGTGTGATTGTGTGTGGGAGAGGGTGTGGTTGTGGGGTTTGTGGGGGAATGTGTGGGCATGGTGGGATATGTATGGGACGCGCGCGCACACACACACACACACACACACACGTAGCCCAAAGTAATAGCCCTCCCCATGTTCAGGGCGGGCAGACAGGCCAGCTAAGCCCTAGTGTTGTGGCTGCTACTAGCAGTGGCTTGTAGTACCCATGGCCCTGGTTACTGGAACCTCCACTCTGCCTTCCCCTAGTGACTGGGCCTACCATGCTCCCCAACCCACACCATTGCTATGGAAGCTAATGGGCCCCCATGGCAGTGGAGGCTGAAGGGCCTGGGCTGGAGGATGCAGTATATGTGCACTTCTGGGGCCACCACCTCCAAGCCCTGGAATTAGTACCACTTTGGCGTGCAGAGGAAAAGGGATGCTTGCAAAAGAGCTGGTCCAGGGCACACCACACATCTGAGCAAGACAGTGGGCATGATTCCCTGAGCCAGTCAGGACCTCCACAGCAGTTTGGAGCCAGCACACCCTTTGGCTGTTCCCTACTACCACCAACAGCATGCAGCCCCAGCCTGGACCATACCCACTCCCAACTCACCCCAACCAGAGCAAACAGACCAGCCAGAACCTGTATGCACAGCCCCAACCTTTGCCTACCCTGTGCCTGTTCCACACTGCCCACCTATGCTAAGCAGTGGTGGTATCCGGGAAGAAGCTGCTGGTCAGTGTGGGAGAAAAGTGGCCCCTCCTTCTCACTGCTGCTGGGCAGTTCTTGCTCCAGCCACCCAGAGTCTGCACCTGGGCTGCCCTGCAGATCCTCTCTGCCACCATCATCGCTGCCCCTGGGCCACCCTATGGGGTAGTGATAGTAATGTAGAGAGGCTGCATGGCTTTCCAGGTGCAGGCTCTGTGTGGCTGCAGTAAGAACTGCCCAGAAGCAGTGAGAGGGAGGGGTCGCTTTTCCCCTGTGCTGAGCAGCAGCTTCTGCCTGGCCCCTGGTGCTGCTGCTCATTATGGGCAGGTGTTGTGAAGCAGGTGCAGGGCAGGCTGGGGTCAGAGCTGTGCCTGCAGGTCCCTGTTGGTACCATGGGGATGGGACCAGCAGCAGCTGGAAGGAGCCTCTTTCACCTGGACTGTATAGAAAAGCAGTCCAACTGTGGAGGTGCCCCAGCCCCTGTGTGTGCCTGTGGGGCAGCAGGACATGCCACAGGCTGGATGGCACTTGGGCCAAGTGGGACTAAGGGACCCGCCGCAGGCTGGACAATGACCCTCCATGCGCTGAATTCAGCCCTCTGGCCATATTTTGCCCACCCCTGTGCTAAGTGATAGTACCTATAGCCTTCCTCCATACTACTGCTAAGATATAGGCAATCTCTGGCCCTGTGCAGAACCAGCTATACTGCTTCTGATTTTAGGTGCAATCTGTCTGGAACAGCACAACTTTCCTGAGGACAGTTCCCTGGAGTTCAGTAAGTTTACAATGTAGACATAACCTGAGACATTTATAAGACTGTAAGGCTTAGGTGCATTGGAGCTCCATGTGGCAACTGAGTGAAGGTTCTGAGAATTTGAATGTTGGACCTAGATTCCTTATGTGGCAATTGGGTGCACACATTCCTCTTTGTATTTAGCCCACAGAAAATATTACCCATTATCAACAATGTAAGAAGCATGAATTGTACTAGCAGACTACTTGTATATGTTATACTTTTCTTTCTTCTCTCTCATGCATACCTTGGTAGAAAAACAACATTCAAGATTCCAAGCATGGGTGATTGGTGCTGCTCTAATCAGGGCAACCAGTTAGCGACTGGGGGGAGGTCCTCCATGGATGATCATGCTGAGCGGGGAGAGGGTCCCCCCATGGCTGATTGTGAGGCAGCTGATCACTCCGGCCGATCACTGCAGCTGCTTGCAGAAGTAGCTATGGCCACTTCCCGGAGTAGCTGCAGCCACTTCTGGGAGTGCAATGGGAATCCATTCCCCGGCTGGCACTTGCAGTGGTGGCACCAGCGCTCCCACCTGCTCCCCCTGCCCATCACCTAAGCGGCAAGTACGGCTGGTCAGGGGATGCACTGGTGCTCTCAGGGGGTGCAGGTGCACCCCCATACATCCCCTACATGTCACCACTGATTCCAGGTGTAGAGTTGATTAAACATCATTTTCTAGTTGATGGCTTGAAAATAGTATTTAAAGATTTGCTTTTTTAGGACTGATTTCTAAGGTGGCGTGTATGTGCATTAGAATCAGGATGGGCAGCAGGGATTAACTGATTTCCAAAAGTCTGGGTCTCACATGCAGTTTTCTCAGCCGTCAGAAGCAGAGAGGCTGTCTAACACAGCATGGCCAATGGATACACACACAGCCTCAGAAACTGAGGCATGAACCACATTGTTCCGTAACATGAGATAGGGTGGCACCAGCTCACAAGGCCAAAGGTGGGCCTAAAATTCCTGTTTTGGGAAGGGTGTGCATGTGATGATCTTGGAATGTACTGATGTAACAGAACATGGACAGTATGACAGCCACAGAGAGAGACCAATCAACAATAGCCATGGATGAAAAGTCATCAGGAGGGAAGGAAAATACAAAAGCAGAGACTTGAGAGTAACAAAGGGGTCCTCCTGCTCCCCATCCTCTTCCCCAAGAGGGACCCTGGGAGTGGTCCAAGAGGCCCACATGGACAGGGGGCACACCACCAACCTGTCTCATCCACCCCACTGGGGTGGGTCCTGGGCCTCAGCATCACACCTCCAGGCTGCTGACATGCTGACACCTAAGAGTCTTCAGAGTGAAGGCTGCATCCTGGCCACATGTATCTTGACTGACAGCCCTAGGATTGGTAGCAATAGAATTGCTTGAGTGTTTGTATTGTTTCTTTTCTGTTATTACTGTTTATCAATAAATTTGCCTATTATCAAATCTAAAGGTTGTGGTCAGTCTGAGGGTTGGGTTCCCTCCCTGCCAGAACAAAGCATTGGGTTCTAAATCAAGAGCCAACACTAGTAAAGCATTTTGTGGTAACTTTGACCTGTTCTCTTCCAGGACATGAATATGCTTCAGTTAATTGAAAGTATGTACTTTTACACAGAAAGCAATGTTACTTTCCTGCATACTTATGCAGTCTTTAAAGTAATAGAAATTTGTTCCAAGAAATGGATTCTCCTTTCAAAACAAAACAAATAGTAGTGCAACATTTGAAAAATCCTGTATACCCTATCAACCCAAACCATCGTGAGTATGCTGTGTTTTCACTTCATGCTGGAAGTAGGAAGTAAAGAACTTATGCAGGGACTATGAAGTCACTTCACCACAGAATAAAGCTGAATAGCTCTTCTATGGAAACAAATTTCATAATGGCAGAAGTGGCTATAGCCCACAGTGTACAACAGAAGCTGTTCCCTGCCCATAGGTGCAGAAGGCAATATAGACCAAACCAAAATAAGGGCCACTGCTCCTCAGCAGGTATGAGAGACAAAAAAGCTAGCACAGCCTTAAGGAAAGTCCTCAATCAGTCCTCAAGCTTCTGGCTTCTCTGTTTTCCTCTGTCTTGATTGATTGCTTTGCAAACCTTGGCATTTGTTAAATTAATAGAACAGGTGGTTAGAACAAAGAGTCTTGCTGTTCAATAGCGCAGAAAGATGAGAAGGAGGAGAAGCATCTTCCAAAGTATTAGCTCTTAAAGAATACAGCATAGTTTGCACTGAGGGACCTTTCTGATACTCTGTGGACTTATCTATATGAGACACGAACTGCGAAGTAGTCTAATGACACTACACAGTAGCATGCCCAGCAAAAACCATGTTAATATGCTACTGCACAGTAGTATTAGCCTACTGTGCAGTAAGTGTCACTAAAAACAGTGCAAGTTACTGTGCATTGATTTAGTACTTGGTTATCCAAATACTAAACTTAATGTACAGTAACTATGGTGCATTAATGAACGTTTAAACGAGCCCTGTATTGCATTGAGGAATATGTAAAATGTTTCCCTCCCACAGGAGGAAGTAGTAAAGCGAAAAGCACTATGTTTTTTTTTGTTTTCCTCTGATGGGGATGAATATAGGTTTCCCCTCCCCCAAAGGCAGACAGTCAAAAAGCCTGAGGCTGAATCAATTCAATAAGAACAGGTTAGTCTCAGCTGAGTAGATTGAACTGATAAGCAAGTAGTTAGACATTCACTTTGAATTCTGGAAATGCAGCCACATGTCTGTAGTTGCCCAGGCCACTGCTTGGCTGGAGCAGACAGCTTGGGCCAAAGCTATCCCACCCACTCTGCAAGTGGGGGTTTGCAGGGGTGGTGCAAAGCATCCTAGGATGCCAGGAGACTGAGTTAATTTGAATGTAGAGGGGATCTGGGACAGAAGTTCAAGAAACCAATTTAACCTAAATCAGTTAAGTTTGACACTACATCCATTCCAGTTTATCTTAAACCAATTTCAGCCATTTTGAAAGTGTGCACTGAACTTCTGTTGTGTTACAGATTTGAACCAGTATCTGATCATAGTGGTTATACTATTCTTTGTGTAATTTCTGTCCAGGGCTGAATAGTTAAGTAGATAGTTCATACCTAAGGCCTGAAAACTAAGCATTTCTCTACCTCTGTCACCCAAGGGATTATGTCTAGCTATCATTCTCAGTGTGCGTTTCTCAGAATGGGATCCATACAAAATAAAGAAACAATCTCTGCTTACTTGTAAAAATATGAAGTAGGTAGAGCCCTTGCCCCCATCTTATCCACTAATTTAGTGTTAGAGCCCTTACTAAAGATGTAAGACCACTAGATTCATTCTCCTTCATGGACACGTAAGCGGATTCAAACCCACTTCTCCCACATCCAAAGAGCATGCCCAGACCACAAGAACAGAAGCTATACAATTATCACAGCTTTCTCAACCAAGACTGTCCAAGCTGTGCTGTTGTGCAGAAAATAATTTGTAGGAGACCAGGGTGTAGGTAGTAAGACTCTGCCTTGAGTTTTGATGGTTCGAGGGAACAGTGTTTCATATCGAATTTCATTTTGAGTCAAAACAGATGTTCTGTTCCGTTGCATCGAAACATACAGCTGTTTTGATGCTGTTTCAAGTTTTCCTGGGGATGGGGACTCAGACCACCTGGGCTGACTTACCATCCCCAGCGTTACATCACGCCAGAGGCAGGCTAGCTGACCTGTTTCCCGCGGCCCCATGCTTGACTGCGCCGGGGGCGGGAGGCAGCTCAGCTAGGCTGCTTCTGGGGCCAGTGTGATCAAGTGGATGGGGATGCTGAATCTTGCACTGGGGATGGGAAGTCAGCCCAGCTGGACTGACTTTCCATCCCCAGCCTATGGTCACAATGTTTTGAAAGTTGAAACATTTTGACCAGCATCATTTTTTTTCGAGGCTATTTTGACTGGCTTTGTTTTGTTCCGCTTTTGCTGTTTCAACCTCAAAATTGGTCAAACAGTATCAGAATGAAATGGCCAGTGAAATTTTGCAGATCACTAGTAGTTAGCATAGGTCACATGGATGGTGATGGCAGGATCCAGAAGCCTAGATCAAGGAGCAGGGCACAGGGTTGATAAACTGAAGTCAGGAGAGGAGGGGTTAAGGAAGCAAGCCAGAAACCAGGGTTGTTTAAAGAGTACCAGTCAGGCAAGAAGCATAGCAATCTTTCATCCAGAGAGTGGTGGCAAGAGTGAGAATGACCCAGTGTTTATGGCACTAATATGTAAGGGTGTTGCCTGGGTTCTGTTCTTTGCTTTGATTACTATGTTTGCAATTCATATAACACAGTAGAGAAATGCATGAATACTCAGTGGATCATGTACTGATATTCAGAATTCCTTTAGCCCAGGTGAATACCCCAGCTATTAGGTTGCAAAGGTCCCTGTTACTTTCCTTTTGGCCCAGTGGCTCTCACATTCTTTTCTACACCAAGTAGCAACTTCAACAGGAGGATGGAGATCACTCCATCTTGTAGCCCACTGATCAGGTACTCTCCAGGGAAATGAGAAATATGAGTTTGTATCCTTTCAGGCAATGGAAGGAAATGAATCTGAATTTCCCATTTTTTGGTCATTCACTTAGCCACTCTGGCCACTGAATAAAGGGAAGCACTGATATCACCACAGTGATCTTGCTTTGTTCTTTGGTAAAGAAGGTAGTCTCTGGGCTGTGAAGATGAAGTGTAGGAGGCACCTAATTTCTAGAGAGATTTGCTTTACTAACCTCTGCATGTTTTATGAGCTGGATTCAATCAGCCATTCACTCATAATATTGCTTATTTTCCCCCGTGTTGTTTATAGATTTATTCTAACATGTATAACTCTCTGCATTATATGGTAGGGAACCTTGGCACTGTATTCAGGGTTGTACATTCTTTTGTGTGGGCCAGGTACCTGCAAGTTGGGAGTTGCACCACTCAGCACATGGATCTGGGCCTAAGGAACTTGGTAGCACTGGCCACACACATAGTCCATTCAGTTAATATCCTTAGATATTTAGGTTCATTTGAAATCCGTACCCCAAATCATCTGGCACCCGACACTGCAAATCCATGCAGTGAAGGTGTTTTGCTATTGTCCTTCAGTTTACTGGATATGGGTAGCCATCTCTTTGTCTTTTATTTCAACAGCTGGTTCAAAGATATTGGTGAAAGACCCTAGACCAGCTTTGGGAACACCAAGTCCCAAGTTAAGTGGTAAGTACCTTGTTTTTAGAAAATAACTGTTATGACCAGTTCTCTTGAGCATAACTACTCACAAAACAAACTAATCCATATGTATGAGTACAGCAGAGCAGTAACTCACGTTAGTAGATCAAAGATATCATTAGTTATTTCCCCATATAAGAATCTCCCATAGGTAAATAGTATTGTAGCATTTGGGAATTTGACAGCTTTCAGTCTTGAAGAGATATTTATTGATTTTTGCAGAATAGAGTGTATTTAGTGTAACGGGCCATATGAAATATACACATTCAGGAAAGTGTTGTTCTTTCAAAAATAAAGTGGGGTTATCTTTAAAAATACTCAAGGACTTCTACAAGACTTAATTTACAGGTATACCATTAAGTTGTTAAAATTTACTAACAGTTCCCACACTGGAATCTGAGATTCCACACTACTTTTCTTTATTAAGAGCAAGAAATTATTGCGCTACTGCAAAACTTCAGGGAAGTTGTTTGTAAGCAAATATTAACTTTTGGATACGGATTGTTCTACATCGCCTAGCATGCAACCCAATATGAAGAAAAGTACACTTCTTACTATTATAAAAGGGGTTGCAGACAAGAAGAGTAACAATAATTCAACAACATTTGAAGAATAGTAGAATTTAAAAGGCTGATTTGTGTAAGTATCAACAGTCTTTTTCAATATGGAGAATGATTTCCTATACAAATAATTAAGTACACTCCATGGAGCCCCATTTAAAACAAAATAACTGTGCTTGAGAATAACAGAATCTGGAGAATACCTGAGAAATTACAAAGATATTCATAACTGCATGAAATAAAGCCTTCGCTCATCCTTTAATATAAATGGATCCGTGTTGATAAGTTTTAGGATATTGAATTCAATTATCAGTTCAGCATCCGCTGAAAAATGTTGCACACCTGATTACTGTAACTAGAACTTCTTCATATTTCTATATAGTAAAATAAAATGCCTTTAAATCTAGATTTTAAATTATAGCTAAAAAAGTATCTTATACTCTGATTTCAAACAATTTCAAGTATAGTTTCCATCTTACCCTTTCATATGCACACACTTGTGTCATAAACTCCAGTGACAGACTGACTGTTATTCAAGAGCCACATCAGCACTGTCTTCTATCTAGTGAGGTCATTTTTATCAAGTTAGTGATTGTAATGTGGTCTCAAATCAGAATGGCACCTTTTTATAATTGTTTATCATCAGCATAAATGACAAAGGCTGAATTATGCTCTTGCCAGGTTAACACAGATCCTTAAACTGTTTTATGCTAAACTGAACTCTTCAGTAAACAGATTCTAGTCTCTCAGTTTCAGTGCACAGCCAAACTAATTTTAAGTGGAGTTTGTAGCCATGTGTTTTCAATACTCTATGTTGCTGGAATGTTATTTATCTCTCCTGGAAATTGTATGTAGCTTGATTGATTTTAAACCTTCCTCTTCTCTTGCTGTATTTTCAGTTTATTTTTGGCATTTGGGTTTATTTCATGAACATATGGAGACTTTATTAAGGAGAGGGAGTTTAGACCATGTGGCTTTGCATTTTAGGCTGAAATGTCGCTGACTTCATCAGTCATATTGGTGTATGCCCATCCACAGAATCAAGGCTGTACACTGTTAACTATTTTCTACATTTGTTTTTTCTCTATTTTGGAATAAATGAGGACAAGTGGTGCAAATATATATATTTCTGCACCACACTTGTCCTCATATATATATAATGGATATAATTCTATAATAAATATATTATATATAATATGTATAATATAACATACAATATATAATATGTATAATATGTTATGTGTATATTTTATACAAATAAATATATAAATGAAATACATATCAACAATTCATATTATGTATTATCATATATATTTATTTATATATTTATTTTTTTTGTATAACATATATATATATATTATACATATATATATTATACATATTTATATTTATGTATAATGGAAAAATGGACTGACATAAATGACAGATACATGCCATGATATAGTAAAAGTTGTTTATCTTGATATAATTGAGTTAATCATTACTTAAATTTGCAAACAAAACACAAATATGTATTTTAGTACAAAGCGACACAACCAGGGGCTCATTTCACAGAAGGAACGAACACATTTTTTGTTTTTGGATTTAAAACAAATAAATATTATTTATATGGAATGAAATACAAAAACATATATGTGTGTGTGTGTGTGTGTGTGTGTGTGTGTACACACACACAAATACCCTAGCTATTAGGTTGCAAAGGTATGCTCCCTGTTACTCTCCTTTTGGCCCAGTGGCTCTCACATTATTTTCTGTAGCAAGTAGGAACAAGGACCAACGGTCATAAACTCCTCCAAGATCATTTTAGGCTGGACATAAGAAAAAATGTCTTTACAGTCTGAGCCTGCAGGACCTGGAATAGACTCCCTTCAGAAGTGGTGCAGGCACCTACTCTAGACTCATTCAAGAAAAGTTTGGATGCTTATCTTGATGGGATCCTTTTGACCCCAGCTGACTTCCTGCTGGACTAGATGATCTTCGAGGTCCCTTCCAGCCCTAACGTCCATGAAATCTATGAAACCTGAGCTAACAAGTATAGGTGTACCCTTAAGCTGTAAATGAGCTATGCCCCAGTCTCTGTATTTGTAATCTCCTTTCCATTCCCCTGGAACACCCCTCTTACTCTCCCTGAACAAGTTCTTAGCAGATCCTCCTGTGTGGCCCAGTGCATGGACTAGTGGCTTCTGTTGTGCAACTTATTTTATTCTATAAAGAAACAAAGTTGTTCATTTTGTTTACTCTGAGTGAAAAGTTGCTAGCATCATTGGTAGCTTTCACAAGATTTGTGACCGTCTATATCTCGAAGGCATGCTTGATGACAGCCACTATCTCTTGGCTAAGCAACACTATTCCATTTGATAACTGTAGGAACTACTGGCTGGATACAATAAAGAACTTGGAACTTACAAGTGTTATGACATCTCCCTTTTAGGTGGTTGGCCACCATAGTGGAATACAACTTCAAGAATTAAGTGCTTAGGCTTCCAATGCTATGAATGGAGAGGGTAAGGGACCTCAGGAAGGCAATATTAAAGACCCCCATATTAAACAGGAAGCCAGTCAACATTATTTTATTTATTTTTATTTATCTGTTTGTTTGTTTTTATGCTGCTCTGCTCAAAAAGTCTCAGAGAAGTTTATAACAAAACAAATAATAATAATAACAACAATAATAATTTAAATAAATATAAAATAATAAAACAATATCCCAAAAAATACCTGGTACTTCATCTTACCTCCTAAAACCTTACCCTTATTAAAAGGCCTTATACTGCTCTGAAAGATGGTGAGGTCCAGGCTTTGGTTAATGTTTCCTCTAGTTAGGAAACATTATATACAGAGGTGCATCTGAATTTCTCCCCATTTTTACCTTCTTCTGTAACTTTTCTTCTAAATTTAAGAATAATGAGATTTGAGAACAAGAAAAGTAGTTAATGGGGTATAATATCAGTTGAATGTTTCAAAAAAAATGTTTTTAAATATTTAAGGAGAGATATTTACATGCATCATTTATATTACTTTGTGTCCTTAACTTTATATTAGAACGTACATTCAGATGTCATGATTAGGGCAAATGAAGGTATACATGTAAATAGGTTCTTAAGTATCTGTGTTTATTGTATAATGATTATTCCATTTTTTTCTTCCTTCTGTGAAATGATTTTCTCTAATAACCATAACCAGAAGTTCTGGTGACATACAGTAGCAGGGAAGTAAAGAGAAAATGTTTATCGTTAATGCATTTTTAGATGTCTTACATTGTACATGCTAAGTATTGCAAGTATTAACATGTTTTTGTTATCTCTACAGTTCCTGATGATGTATTTGCCCAGAATTACATATGGAAAGGGTCTTACAATTATAAAGGCAAGAAACAGCCCATGACTTTGACAGTTACCAGTTTCAATGCATCATCGGGCAGAGTAAATGCCACACTTACCAACAGCAACATGGAACTGCTGCTTTCAGGTACTATATAAGAAAAACTCATTCAAATTTACAAGCCTCATGGCTGTTCCCTGTAATTTTATGCTTAATACTTATCATTTTTCTACTAAAATAATGCTGCAAAAAGTGCCTTTGCAATCTAAGAGAAATTGACTGGTAATAGAATACCTTCCTGAATTGGTTTTCTTCACTTTTTTAATTTCCCAAGATTGCAATATATACTGATTTCAAAGAATCATCCTTTTTCTTAATAACTAGAAATTGCACAAATTGCCACATCCTCCTAAAAGATATGTCTTAATAGCTGTTAAGAGGTATGGTAAGACTGATGTGCATTCCCATAGCAATATGAAGATATTCAAGGAAAAGTTTGTGTTATTAAGCCTAAAAATATTTGGTTTTGAAACTCTGACTATTATAACTAGGGCCCAGAATAAAATAGCCAGAACACTGGTGCATTACCCAAAGCACTCTTCACATCTGGGTTGAATTTCAAGAGGATTCTTCTTTCTTTTAAAATTAATAGTGAAAGTGATCTGGCCCAGAAATAAAAGGACCTGATTTTTCAGTAGTATAGACAGGCAATTTCATGTGCAGAAATGGGCTTACTTTGTAATTATAGAGACACCCTTTCTTTGTGCATAGTCAAAATAGACTTGAAAGTCTCCTTCAGGCCTCAATTGACCTGTTGCTCCCTCATTTGTATATAAATGAGTTTGTGAAAATCCCCATACATTTTTTTCCACTCTTGTTTATCTGTCTGGTGCTATATGGTCCTCCTCACCGTGGCACCTCAGTTATTAATGGTTTTCACAGTCTTCCTATGAGGTAAAGCATATCTCCCATCCTAAGACAAGGAATAAAATAATTAAATTACCCAAGCTTTCACACAATCAACTAATCCAAAGAAATGCTGTAATGCTAAGTGCCACAACGCCTAACTTGTAGGCACCTGGCTGCTGGAATGGAATTTGAGTAGGAATCAACTAGAAGTAGCCAATATAGAAAGCCAAGGACAGCAGCCATTCTTAAATCCAATGCATCTTCAAGGCTTAGGTGCCTGATCGAGGACTTCAGGGAAGCATTTATTTGTGCCTAGGATCCACAGCCCAGAATTATCTTGTGAAAGCAGGTATATTGCCCTTCCTTTAAATATGGAAAGGCTTTCCTTTTTTCTTTTCCTCTTCCTTTCTTAATGTAATTGTAGAACTGCTGATGTTTCCCCTCCCTCCCTCTCCATTTAATAGCCAACAGGTTAGAGTACCCACTCCTTCCTACTCTAAGGAATACTAATGCATTTTACACAAATAAAAAAATACATAAACAATTTGGAACCCAGGACTCCCCTTGTTGCACTATAGAATCAGTCCTCCTCCTCTTTTCTCTTTCTGGGCATAACATATTCATTTCTGTACTGGGAAGTGTTGTGAATATCCTCTATTCCACAATAAACTGTAACTTGAGATTTAGGGGACTGTCCAGGGAAGGGAGAAATTTAGTGCTGAATCTCTTCAAACAGAGGTAGAATTGAACTTGGACCTCCTACATCCAATACTGTTTAAACTAGCCTCTTAGAACGAGCCTCAAACAACTTAGAACTATGCTGTAATAGGGGAGCACATCCGATTCTGATCATATTTTTAAAAATGTTGGTCGCTAGTTTAAGTCTGTATGAAACCATACTCTATACACTATAATGGATTGGGCCCTGCAGGCAATAAAGGTAGGGAATACTTGCTTGAGGGATCCTAAATGAGTTTCATTGTGAGAGAGCTACTAAACTGCTTGGAACCATCAAGTCTGAGGTGTTTTTCTACATAACCAGAAGCATAACTATAGGTGCCTAGGAAACTAGAAGGTAAAAAATAAAAGTGTCAATTCAGGCTAAAGTGGCAGGTGGTCTATACGAGCAATCCTTTCTCAGATAACATAAATTTCAGTTAATCTCACAACCCCATCTACTTTGTTTTTGGGGTTGGTTTTTTTTCCATTTTTCTGGTTCTTCAGCCATTTCACTTTCTTCTGGTACTATTTTTTAACTTGACTGCCCAGCTTTGTGTCCTTCCCACAGTGTCCTATCTTCTCTGCACTCCTCCTCTCATAGGGCGCGTGCAGATGAGTGTGCACGTGCTTCTTGCCCTGTCTCAAACCCTTTTGATGCAGGGCAAGAGGCACATGCAGGAATGAAAAAAATGTTCCCTGTGCTGCAAACTTGCAGTGTGGGGAGAAAATTAGACCCAGGGGTCAAATAAAAACCCAGGGGAAAAAAACAGGTCAGGGCAGAGTCCCAGACTGAGGCAACCAGAGGCTCAGTCCTCCAAAGACACTGTGGAAGAGTACCAGAGTATTGCTATGATTGGCTTTTTTCCCACTCCTGAAGCATGCTGGGCAGGCAGCGATGCAAGCTGCAGGGACCCAGACCCAGCTTTTGCCAGGTAAGCAGGGGATTGGGGGCTGGAGGAGGGAGGAGGGCACCTCAGGAGGCTGGAGACAGCAGAGGAATGAGCAGGGGCTGGAGACAGCCCCAAAGGCATTCCCCTGCTGTCCCCTGCTTTTCCGAGGCTGGAGATAGTCTCAGAGGAATTCCCCTGCTATCTCCATCCCCTGCTCCTTCCTCTGCTTGTCTGCAGCCTCCGGGGAGCAGGGGTAGGAGCAGGGGGCTGGAGACAACAGGGGAATGTCTCCAGAGGCAGTCTCCAGCCTCCTGCTCCCTCCCAAGGCTGGAGACAAGCAGGGGAAGGAGCAGGGGTTTGGAGACAAGCAGGAGGCTGGAGACAAGGCCCTGGAGATAATCTGGAGACCTGCCCTGCTCTCTCCAGCCTCCTGCTCATTCTCTGCTACTGCCAGTGAGTGTGGGGGGCTCGGAGAGCAAGTGGAGAGCTGGGAGAATGAACAGAGGGTGGGGGGAATGAACGGGAGTGGGGGAATGAGTGGGGAGCAGGGGGAATGAATGGGGGCAGGGGGAATGAATGGTGGGTGGGGAGAATGAATGGGGAGCAGGGGAGCGAATGGGGAGCTGCAGGAACCAACAAGAGTGGGGGGAATGAGCCTCCTGTTCATTCTCCTATTCTCTGCAGCCTCCTGCTTGTTCTCCTGCTCATGTCCAGCCTCCAGAGGCTGGAGAAGAGCAGAGGGCTGGAGACCAGCGTCGGGGCAGGGGCAGCTATCGCCCCTGGGAGGAGCCTGTGACCCTGCAGGCAGGGTAGTCCATGTGCTCGGGGGGTCAGTTCTGCCCTGTGGGGGGCAGGGGACCATTGGCGATGCATAGATGGTGCACGTGCGCTCCCTGAGCATGGCAGTGCACCCCCTCAAAAAAAGTGCTGCCAACACTGCCTGTGGTGTCTATAGGCAGTTGCCACTTACCCCCCCTGCGGCAAGTGGTGTCTGCAGGCAGTCAGCAATCACTACTGGCCACCGCTGTCACTGCCAGTGGTGTCTGTGGTTGCTTGCCCCTCACCACCCCTCCCCGCACTGCCGACAGTGCCAGTGGCTGTGGCAGCTGCTCCTAACTTACCACTGCCACCACGCTTCCACCTCCACCAGTGCTGCTGAGCCCCGCCAGCTGCTGGGGGTATGTGGCATTCATTCATGAGCCTGTGTGAGATCACTATGCCTCACTGGAGTTTTCCAGAAAAGTAATCCAAGAAATTTATTGGGGAAGATAATTAATTCAAAGTATTAAAATTTGTCAGCTTCTAATATTTTCCTAAATGCAGTAACTCTTTGGCAGCAAGAGCAGAGAGCTGATACCATTGGATCAGGGGATCTTCATATTTACTACAACTCTATCTTGATCGTCTATTGTACTTAATTTTTAAAGTGAAAAGGAGACCCAGTAAAAGTAACCTCCTGGACATGACCTGGAAGGTTCTGTAAAGCTCCAGTAAACTTGATTTTAATACTTTCCAATTTGTGTGTGTGTTCCTACACTAATCCCTCACATATACATGGTACTGGCTTTTGGAACATCACTCAAGTGAAACTAAGCTAAGATACAGTACTAACACTTCAAAGAGAGTCTTAGCATCCTAGATTTCCTCTTTCATACTTCAGAGTTTTAGTAGCACCAATGCTTCATAAAGTCTGTTGACCACCAACCAACCCTCTTATTATAAAGCTTGTCTGGCAACGTGAAGTTTCTCATTTTTTTTTTCTGCTGAATTACCTCTCACAACACCAAAAGCCCAGTTCCACGTAGTACCAACATTGCTCCCGTCTCTTTTCCAAGACCAGCAGTGGATTATAAACTAACCTTTTCAGGAACTCCAGCAGAAGTCCCATCTTCCTGTCTGCCTAGGTAGCTTAGTGCTAACCCCCCCCAAAACATTCAAGACACTCCTCTTTCTAGTGAACCAGCACCTTTCCCAGTACATAAGGTCTGTTCTTCCACAAAACACGTGCACAGAACCAGACAGATCACTTAACATGGATGATACCAGTTCAACTGAGGAAAGAGGACACATTCACGGTGTCATCTCACCACCATGGCTTTGTCTTGATTAACACAATACCTCTATTTCAGTTAGCTAGTGTTTGCTAAGCTGTATCCAACCTAAACTCAAGGATATTTTCTAGTCAAGATAGTCTCAGGGATGTTAAAAAGTTTGGCCATATGGTTTATCATAAAAAGCTTTTGTTTGCAACCTGGCTTGTGATCCATGTAGTCCATTACTGAATAGCCTTTCACTACAGCTTGTTGGAAAACTAAGGGATCATGATTTTCACACAAAAAATGCATGCGCTACACACACACACACACACACACACACACGCGCACACACACATATTTAATTGTAGTTTCACACTAAGTTAACAAATGGGTATGTATGTGTTGCCTGTATGTATGGAAAATAATCTTGCTTCTGGTTTTGGTCAAAAGTTGGTAACCAGCTTCAGTTTTCATACACCCTGAACAGAAAGAGTGACACAATGCAAGCCTGTGGGACTGAAAATGAGAGCCATTTTGTAAGTTGAACATTGTGTAGCATTAGTCTCTGTGGTTTCACAGAAAGGGACCGAATGTACTAGGAGGCCTCTTTACCTAACCCTCAAGGTTTCAGAAGCAAGTTAGTAAACTGCAACACCACTGACAGTTCTAATATCAAGAGGAAAAAAAAAATTACCATAGTCCAACACCAAAAGAAATTAATCAGTTGCTGAATCAAGAAAATTTAATCGCGTACCAGGATCTGAAGCAGGACTGATTAGAATCCGTGTAGATGTAAAGTTGCTGGAACTGTTCCTTTCTTATTTTCCTGATAACCATAAATTAAAATGGTAAGTTTGAGCAAGATTGGAAATGTGTGAGGTTACCAGTAGACAAAGATATCTTTTTACTCAAGACATTAAGAATGACAAAACTGTCTAAAAGGAAGCATTAAGTATCCTAATTAAAGACATTATAGACAAAATAGCATTCTCCTTGTCTTTAATTTCATAAAGGAGATACTAGCATCAAATTGTTGATATCCAGGAATCTGAGGATATGGAACACAAATAAAATTTTAACACGACATCTTTGCATTGCATTAATTTATTTCAGATGTGGAGGGGAGCAACAAATTATGTTTTTGTTCACTTAAATTCAAAGGGACAGATTCTACTCTCCTACCATATAATTCTCATTTAAATAATTGTTAATTCAGAAGATCTGACAGTGGTTACATGGCTTGAAAGAAAATGCAGGATATAACTACATTTATGTCCTGCCATATCTATTCAAGTAAGGTTCTCAGACTTTGAAGCCAGCATTTACAATCTATGCCTGAACTTACTTTAACTTGTGGTTTTAGTGCCCATTTTACGATTGAAATCTGTCAAAGGATATAAAAGATATGCCTATTACATCCCTATAAAAAGATATGCCTATCATACCCTTAGCATTTTGAGTTATCTCAGGAAACTTATAAATAATTTTTTGTTATTTAAAAAAGACTGAAAAAATGCAAATAAAGATCCATATGTGGTTTGAATGTTTAGGGACACTGAATACCAGCATATCCCATTGACTTTAATAGGACTATTGTGTAGTCAGTATTACTGTCACTGATATTTTTTAAATATCTTTTTCTGGCTGTGTAATGTGCATAAATGATATAGGATACAGAAACAGTTAAATGCAGAATGAAAGCTAATAATACTATAGGCCAAATATTTACATTTCATACCATTACTTAATGTAATTATTAAGCAACTTGTACATTTTAGTGAAGCCTATCTTTTTCATTGCTTTCTTTCACACAGATAAATTCATTAAACATACTTTTAATTGTAATTTCACACTAGAAGCTAACAATAAATATAACATAAATGGAGTTTTGAACATTTTTCTGCAGGTAATGAAATTATCTGTTAATTCTGCCAGCAATGCAAATTAAATGATATATAGAAGTTCTTCAACTCAGTGAAATCACAATTTTGCAAAATTGACAGGAGGAGGACAATCCTGTTTGATGCGTCACTAAAGGAAAAAAAAACAAAAGTTTTTTGAAAATTTTTCCCCACAAAATAAAGCTTGTATGCGTCTGTATCAATCACTTCTTAGACTATTGGTATAGAATACGAACTAAGGGATCTGTGAGCCCCAGGTTTGATTTCCCTGGCCCAGTTCACAACAGACTCTTTCTTTTCAGGTCAGATAAAGTTAAGAACTTATCCTATGTCTTCCACATCTCAAGCCTAACCTCACAGCTATGCTGCAGGGGGGGAGGATGGGGAGGAGAGAGAGGAAAGTCTCCCTTCTCCTGTTTTTTGTGGTAACCAGTATAACTGCACAAAGTATTTTAGGTTCAACAAAACAGCTTATTTGGTAGAAGGGAAATTCCACTGAAAATATTCTGACTAGCTATATTACCAAATTGTACCTTATTCAAGGAGGGTTTCACTATTAAAATAATAGTTATCACCTTAAGTAGATGAAAAATATCTCCATTTTATCTTTAACAGGCTTGTATAAAAGCCAGGAAGCCCGTCTGATGCTCCATATATATCTCATTAAAGCACCATCTCATACAACTGTGAGCAAAATGAAAGAGGAAAAATGGGCTATGGATGGTTTTGTGAGTATATTTCTATTAATACAGGACCATTTTAAATATGGAGTAATGTTTGTGTGTTAGATGAGAATAACATAAAACTTATCTAATGAAAGGTTGGTAGTAATGCTAATTGATTTAATCAAATGAAAAATATTATTGTACTATTGCAGATGGGGGTGGGCTATTTGATGGGGAAAATGTACATATTACCATAGAAGGATATCAAATCCTTCTTTGCACAGATGTAGTAATTTGATACAAGGGAAGACACCCAAAAGAAATCATTATTTCCCAAGGCCTGGAATAGACTCTCTCTAGACGTGTTGCAAGCACCTACTCTGGATACTTTTAAGAAATGTTTGGACACTTATCTTGCTGGGATCCTTTGTCCCCAACTGACTTCCTGCCCCTGGGGCAGGGGCTTGACTAGATAATCTTCATAGCCGTAATGTCTATGAAATTATCCTTATTTTTTACTGTAGTGCAGTAATTACAAGAAGCATTCTCAATTTTAGAATACATGTTTTTATAAGGTTAAGATGAGTGTTTCCATTTTGAGATGTCCTTCTGAATAATCTTTTTATGCAGAATGTACTACTATGTTTCTTGCTTTCTTGCTGGAAGCAAAATAATACACACGGAATAAAATACTTCATGGAAATGACACAGCAGTATTAGGGAATCAGTATGTGATAAAGTGAAATATGTGGGTGAGAAACCTAAACAAATGGGTCCAAATCTTTCCAGAGCTTCCAGAGAGTGGGGAGGCTCTGGGGCATTTATGAACCAGATTTAGCACATTCCATAGGGAGGAAAAGGAGAGACAAAATCTAAGATATTTGGGGTGCTGATGGACTTCCAAGAGGAGAATTGTTCCATAAGGCTAAGTACAGACAATCAAACAGCCTGCGGTTTTGCCTCCTGGCCAACCAGCAGGAAGTGGCAGGGCTCCACGGCGCTTTAGCCAGTCAGTAGCAGGAGGCAAAAACTGCAGCATATTTAAATCTGCAGTTTTTGCCTGCCAGCTGATCAGCAAAAAGTGGCAACCCCTGTCCCCTCCACCAAACAGCAGTGGGAGGGAGAGGTAGTGGTACGCATCAGAAAGAGCAAGATTAAAGGAGCTGCTGCCATAGTTTAGGTAGATTTTGGAATTGGTGGAGAGGTAAGATCGTATGGGTCTAAAAACGCATTGAATTTAAGTCATCTGTGCCTAAATACTTATACATCTTCTATGAGTTACTCTGTTCAATTGGGATTTCTTCTTCCCACCACCATTTCTCTCTCTGGTGACTGTGACATAAAGGATTTTGGATTTGATGTTCTCGATACGTATGAGCATATCAGCTTGTCTAAATTTGTATTACTTTATATACACTATAGTATTAAAATTATATTGTTATTATTATAATGTATATGCTGGTATAGGTAAAACATTATGATACCACTAGTATGGCTGCAGTTATACTGATATAAAAATGTATATGAAATCTGAATTATACTGTTAAATTGTCTGCTTTGTATTGCAAATTTTCTTTGATACTACTTGGTGAAAAAGAACAAAAAAACCTGACAAAATTATCTTTGTGTTATATGAGTAGCACTCCCCAGAGTACCATATTTCCCTTGTTCATGCTAATTCAGGTCATGTCCTCAGGGCAAAAAACCCCCCAAAACTTTACGGTTACAAATAAGTGTGAAAGGTTCTGAGTTCAAAGTATAACTACTCTATGGACATGTCTACACAAGATGCTAACTGTAGCTCATCACAGCATGGACAGTACTAATATGCTGCTGCACAGTATGATTAGACTGCTGCTCAGTAGCATCATCTAAAGGACATATGCTGATGCTATGGAGCAGTCATTTGCTAATACAAGTACTAAATAAATGTGCAGTAGTGTCTCATGTAGATGCTCCCAGTAATAAATTTAATCCCAGCCAGGAGTAGGATGGATAGTTTAGGAATTTCACTTCCAATCATATTTTAATCACCTGGACTATTTCTAACCAAATATTCCCAGAATATTTATAAATATTTTCTGCTTTCAGGTTTCTGCTG